TTCCAACAAGACTCCCAGAAACCCAAGGATCCAATCAGCATCCTAGAAACTACATTCCATACCCATATAGTCACATAAGCATGTTATCAATTAAATACATAACATTACATCTATGTCTCTAGTCAAGCAAGACAAACCCATTGTGATACTAATCACTTCCCACGTACCCAAAGTATTCGAACCCGGTACGCTCTGATACCAAGTTGTAACGCCCTCAAAATAATACATAAAACCCATCATTTTAGACATGCAATAATATAAGAGAAATCAACACCTTTCTATTCATCAGAGTAGTTCTTACAACAATATTACATGTTAACAACAAAAGCAAATGCCCTACGGGCTTACAGCTTTCCAAGTCAACACTTGGTTACAAAAAGAAGAGTACTAATTCTATACAAAATAAGCCCTTGGCTTGATATACATGTAATACAAACAAAATAATCAAAAAGAGTCTTCAACTCCCATAACCATCCAAGCAATGTCCTTGGAGGTGGCCTGCTACTTGTACCTGAAAATAATGTCCCATATAGGGTGAGCCAACGCCTAGTAGAGATATGCTAAACACAATATGAGCAGTAACTAAGACATTAGTAACTGATAAATGTTTGACTCACATAGATCAATTCAAAAACCATTTCCATTACATGACAACTGTGACCATGTTTCATTTCATTTTCCATTTCTTATTCAATTCTCCATTCACAACCATGGCTCAGAACCTGGCCAAACACTCTAAATGAGATAATAATTCATTTTAAACGTTGCCCATTTCACAATAAATAAGCATACTAGCTGTATCAACATCTCAACAGATAAGCATATGAGCTATATCAATACTTCCATAGATAAGTATATGAGCTATATCAACACTTCCATAGATAAGCATATGAGCTATATCAACACTTCTATAGATAAGCATATGAGCTGTATCATCGGAGTCCATCCCCTATCTTCTCCCAAACCTTAACCGGTTTAGAGGTCCATCCCCTATCTTCCCCTAAACCGTGGAGTACATCCCCTATCTCCTCCCACACAACACAATACATATAAACAATTATCATATACATCATCAAACAACACATAAAGTTAATGTATTCTTTCAACTGTCATATTCGATGACACATTCCATTGATTAGTTTTAGTTTGCCTAATCATCATGCATTGTCTACAACAATCACGACTACCCTCCACTGGTAGCCCAAGGCAATTATTTCTAAACAGATAATAAATGCGTCAACAGATAATTTATCCATATTCCCAAAAGTGAGCGATTAATAAATCCAACTTCACTAATCCATCTCATAATGAGCCAATTTCATTATATTCAACTCAATTTCATATTTTCTCAACAATTGTCATTAATTACACTAATGACCCAAAAATACCCAAACATGGCATTTTCCTCTCTATTCCCAATATTGACTCCAAGAGTCCATATGTTACCAACAACATCAATATACTCATTTTGAAACCCAAATACATATTTATGGTTCAAAATAAACAAAACCCTCTTTTCAAAATTATACATTTGAAACCCTAGTTTCCAAAACCCAAAACCATTTATACAACAAACTCAATATCTAGGTCAAAACCCATAAGAGTGAGTAGGAATCCCTACCTCAAATGCGGAGCCCAAGGGAAGAAGATGAAGAAATTGAAGATGCTCCAAATCCCAAAATTTTCGGATCAAAAGATAGCCCTCGACAATCAACACAACTTTTACAAAGACCCAAGGTGAGGAAATCACTCATACTAGATCAAACCCTAGAGAAAAGGGAGTTTTTAGAGAGAGAGGCTCTCAAAATCGGTTTTGGAAAAGTAAGAGAGAGAGAGTGAATGTAAAAAGTGATTAAAAAATGCCTAACTGCCCTCTGATATACGACATTCCCGCTCGAGCGGAGAACAGGACGCTCGAGCGTCAAGCACAAAAATCTGGACACGCTCGAGCGCAAGAAGGCCCGCTCGAGCTCCAAGACACAAGAATAAAGTACATCCGCTCGAGCGCGAAAACCAGTCCGCTCGAGCGTAGATTTCCCCCTCCTAGAACTTTCACAGACAAAGTACTACCCGCTCGAGCGCCAACATACCCGCTCGAGCGCTACAGCTCGAGCGTAAAGAAACCCGCTCGAGCGTGAAAAACATGCTTGCAGAAGTTTTGCAGAGCACCAAAGTACTGGGAGTGTGCAATCTTCGCTCGAGCGCTAGACGACCCGCTCGAGCGGAACGACCAAAAACCTGGTAACAAGATTTTAGACCAAGGCTCAACCCACCTGCTCGAAACATGCCCAACATATCCTAAAACTCAAACAAATGGAATCAAAGGACGACAATAAGATAGATACAACTACCAACTCCACGGAACCAAAGTCCGGAATACAACTGATATAGAAAGGGAAAACCGGGATCGCTATAAAGAAGGGGTTTGGCATTGAATTTATATGCTTTTAATTTAAGTGGAAAAGTTTCAGTTGATTATGTGGTCTTCAACTGGAGTGAAGATTTTATATTTTCCTGGGCAATGGCAACAATTCGTGGCTCCTCATTGCACCCACTTTTTTTCTAACTAACGGTAATCTGTTCAAATCCCAACTTACTTGGGATTAATAACAATTGCACAATTAATTGCTTTTTTAAGCATTATATTCCAGGAAAGGAAATGACTTCTATTATCAAGATGCACCATTAAATTAAGCTATTGTGGTCTCTAATTAGTACAACCCGTGATATTAACCATCACTGTACAATGAAAGCAACATGGTAGTTTTATATGCTAACCATTTTATTCCTGTTATGTATACAATATATTTTCAACACTTCAATAAAACCATTTTCAGAATTTGCATCATTATTCAGTTTGAATCCACTTAATCTTGTACCTTTTTATTGGAATTGGCTCTATGTAAATGGAATCACAAAATCTAGAAGTTAGAAATAAAAAAGAAAACCTGAGAAAAAAAAAAATAGAAGCACCAAAAAGCTATCACTATTGGCTGATTCGCAATCAATGAACTGTAAGCACAGACGTAATTCAGAAAGTTGGGATATGTATAGAATTGGTTGTTAAAGACAAAGAATTAGAGAGTTATTAAATTCTCAAAGTCAACGAGAAAATGAGATATATAGACTAATGTAAAGTCATTGGGCACAAAATTCCAAGGCCTAGATTACCCAATAGCATGCCATCAAAAAGATGCAAAAACTTTGAGAAAGATGCAATCTCCATGTAAGAAGAACAAGAAAAATAAATTTAAAAAACTGCATGTCATCAAAAACTTTTGACTGATAGTGGTACAATAAGGTGGCAATGTGTGTGGGGCTTTGTGTGTGCATGTGCGTGTCTGAAAATCAGAAATGAAAGGCTTCTCCATGCTTAATGATGCTTTTAGTAGGCTGGTATTAGTTTTAGAGAGAAAAACATTCAAAGTGAGAAAACAATAAACCCACCACCATATGTACACTTAAACCATTAGACACCACAATTGAAAGCTTGCTGGAATTTGGATATTTATAACCATCTATATTTGGTTGGCAATAGTAATTGTATGTATATAACTGTTGTTGCTGCAATTGTGAATGCTAAAATGTTTCGTGATTCCATTTGATTTAGTTTTCATATTAACTTCACTGGTGATAATTGAATTTGTCAACTCGATAACTCTATCTCCTTCAGCTCCTTATTGTTTTTGTTGTTATTTGTGCAGATTTGGTGATAGGATGAGCATATCTTAAAGAGCATTATAGAAATCTATTCACAACCAAGGCATCTTAAGGCCTGCTCTTAAGGACATGTGATGAAGAAGCAGAAAGAGATTACAAATTTTAAGATCTTGACAATGGCGGTGTTTGGCAAGATTTGGGTTTGGGTTTTTTTTTGATTTTTTCCACTAAAACACAAAGTTTTTGCAAAACCAAAAAAAATAAATCCAAACAAAATATCACATCCAACTCCATAATCATTTCACTTTTTCTCTCACAAATATCACATCCAACCACAAAAAAACACAACTATCTTCCCAAACACCAAAAAAAATTTATCCAATAATATCCTACAACTAAAAAAACCTACATAAAAACCCACTTCCCAAACACCCACAATATGTCATTTCAGTAAATCATATGTAAACATCAATTGGCATCTCATAATCGCAAAGAATAAGCAACAATGCATATTAAAAAAATAAATTCTCTCACGGGTCTATACCAATAAAACTCAAAGTTTACTCTTTTTTTTTGCATGCTTTTTCTCTTCGAGGCTTTCTATCAATTATTATAGCAATCTGTTCATTTTGTTTTCTTGTGGGTAAACTATATTTAAGCACTTTTGAATTATCATTTATTATGACTTCCATATTTCCTTGTTCTTTCTAATTCAATACAATATGGGTTTGGTAGGTTTCTTTGTATATAGACATATATATACATAATCTCATAATTTCCAATTTTCAATTCTACAACAAGTGCTTTAGTTTTTTTCAGTCTGTTTTTGGTTCTAGATTGTTCTTTGGTGTTTCTTTTTGGGAAGTTGTTAGTGAATTTAATGTTCTTTGGTGGTTTTTGCTAGCTTCCAAGAAACAAAGAAAACAACTTTCCTATCTCTCAGAATCCAATTTCGGTTTCAAAATTCAAAACCCATCTTGAAAAAAGCTATCTTTTGCTTTAAATAACCTTTAATCTTGAAACCCTTTTGAGTTCTAGCTATCTGAAGTTGTGAATTCATCAGAATGTTCTGGTACTTAGACTACCAAATAATGAGCCGAATTTAAATTATTGAGACCCATTAATTGACTAGTTTATAAATTGGGTTTAGCTTAATCAGACAGCTAGTCAAGGATTTTATCAAGCGTATAGTGTGCATAATTTGTCTATTGCACTAACAAATAGCAATAAATACAAACAAACACCAATAAATACAAATCAGGTGTCCATATCCCAATATAAGACAAACAAGCAGCCAGAAGATTACACACCAAAAACATACAGAAATGGATACAAAATACCTGTATCTTCATCTCTGTAGCACCGCGACGACGGTGATGAAGCGGGGAGCTGGTGTAGGCGTTGTACCTCCGGTGATTTCATCTCTTAATAGGCCACAGTGAGAGCAGTGACTGATGATTTCGTTCAAATAGGACTCAGCGGATAGGAAATTTCTAGGATCGGCCTTCAATCTTCAAACGATGCGAACAAGATAGCCACCTGGTTCAACTGATATTCTCTTCGCACAAGAAGGGTGAAATGGACAATAAGATAGCGTTAGATTCAATTGAGGTGTATGCTTCCGTTCTTTATATAATAGTATAGATTTATGAATGCACTTATGAATCAAGGCTTCTGAATGATTCTTGTTCGCTATACTGAAATAAATCAGCCTGTTCATTGATTTTGATTTTTTACATCAAAATTTTTTCTGTGTAAAACCCTAGAGCTACGTGTGAGAAACGGGGAAATAGGGGAAGGGAGAGAGAGAGAGAGAGAGAGAGAGAGAGAAACCTGTGATTTGCGACAGTGGCGGTGGTGATTTGCGGCGGTGGCGGTGGCGGTGTGCGGCGGTGGCGAGCGACAATGGGGTGGTGAGCATCAGTGGTGAGGTTTGGTGGTGACTGTTCTGTGTGTGAGGGTGAAATAGAGAAGAGGGGCGCGGGTGGCAATATAAAATTTCAATTTGTCGACAAATATTAATCAATAACGACAATTTTTGTAGCCAAAAGTAAAATTTGGCTACTAATTTTTTTTGTCATCGGCAAAAGTTGAACATACAATAACTAAATTTTTTTAGTCACCAACAATTTGGGCTTGTTTGGTTTGTTTTGGGGAGAGTTGTTTTTAAAAAAAAATTGGGGAGAGAGTTTAGAAATTTTTTTGGTTTGTTTGGTTGTATATTTTGGGAGAGTTATTTTTTTTGGAGTTTGCGATGATTTGATATTTTAGGAGAATTTGAGTAGATGTGTGTGAGAGAAAAAGTGATTGAAAAGGAGAGAGAAGAGAGAAAAATTGATTGATTGATGTGTAAGAGAGAGAGAGTGATTTTGAACCAACACCAACTCGGCCAAAAATAATTGTATACGACGAAAGACTAACCCAAAAATAAGCCTATTATTTGGCAACTAAACTTCATTTTGTTGGCAAATAATTGTATACGACGATTAAAATAAGAATTAGTAGTCTAAAATCTAGACTTATGCCAACTAAAAAAATTTTAGTCGCCTATTTACATCATATTTAGCAACTAATTTTTTTTAGTCGCCAATAAATAATATATCTTAACTAAAATAATATAGTAGCTAAACCTTGAACCAACACCAACTAATAAATTTTTTAATCGCCAAAAAAGTAACTTTTGGCAACTAAATTCCTTTTGGTCGCCAAATTTAGTCGACAAAAGTGTAATTTGTTGTTAAAAAAAAACAAACTTACGCGTCATTTTATGTTAACTACCCTGACTTTTGTGAAATTTACGCATTTTGTGTTTTTGTATATTTTTTGAACAAACTTATGTACTTTTGTGAAACATTACGCCTTTTTGTGAAATTAGTTACGTCATTTGTCAAAACTTACACATTTTGTGTTGTTCTATATTTTTTGGAACAAACTTATGCATTTTTTGTAAAAACTTACGTATTTTTGTGAAATCAGTTATATGATTTGTGAAAACTTGTGTTTTACATTTTTGGGATAAACTTACACGTTTTTTAGTTAAGTTATCCATTTTTGTAAAATGACTTACGTGATTTGTGAAAACTTCTGCATTTTGTATTGTTCTATATTTTTTGAAACAAATTTACCCATAGTTGTTTGTGAAAACTTACGCCTTTTGTGTTATTTTCAGTTTTTGAAAAAAATTACACTTTTTTGTATTGACTTACACCTTTTTGTGAAATCATTTACGCACTTTGTGAAAACTTATGCCTTTTGTGTTGTCAGTTCTTGAAAAAAACTTATGCTTTTTTGTGTTCACTTACGTTTTTGTGAAATCAATTATGCTTTTTGTGAAAATTTATTCCTTTTTGTGAAATCACTTACACATTTTGTAAAAACTTTTGCCTTTTTGTGTTGACTTACGCTTTTTTATGAAATCACTTACACTATTTGTGAAAACTTACGCATTTTGTGTTGTTTTCAATTCTTGAAAAAACTTAGGCCTTTTTGTGTTGACTTATGCTTTTTTGTGAAATCACTTACGCGTTTTGTGAAAATTTACGCCTTTTGTGTTGTTGTCAGTTCTTGAAAAAAACTTACGCCTTTTTGCGTTGATTTACGTTTTTTTGTAAAATCACTTATGCCTTTTGTGAAAATCTACGCCTTTTTGTGAAATCACTTGTGCCTTTTGCAAAAACTTACGCATTTTTGTATTGACTTATACTTTTTTATGAATTCACTTACGCTGTTTGTGAAAACTTGCGCCTTTTGTGTTGTTTTTAGTTCTTGAAAAAAAAACTTACGCCTTTTTGTGTTGACTTACTACTTTTTGTGAAATTACTTATGCGTTTTGTGAGAACTTACACCTTTTGTGTTGTTAGTTCTTGAAAAAAACTTACGCCTATTTGTGTTGACTTACGTTTTTTTGTGAAATCACTTACTCTGTTTGTGAAAACTTACGCATTTTGTTTTGTTGTTAGTTCTTGAAAAAAACTTATGCCGTTTTGTGTTGATTTACGCTTTTTTGTGAAATCACTTACGCTCTTTCTGAAAACTTACATCTTTCGTGTTGATTTACATTTTTTGTGAAATCACTTTGTCAGTTCTTCAAGATAACTTACGCCATTTTGTGTTACCTTACGTTTTTTTTGTGAAATCATTTACTCTCTTTGTGAAAACTTACGCCTTTTATGTTGTTGTCAGTTCTTGAAAAAAACTTACACCTTTTTGTGTTGACTTACGCTTTTTTGTGAAATCACTTACGCTTTTTCTGAAAACTTACGCCTTTTGTGTTGACTTACGCTTTTTTGTGAAATCACTTATGCTCTTTCTGAAAACTTACATCTTTTGTGTTGACTTACGTTTTTTGTGAAATCACTTTGTCAGTTCTTCAAAAAAACTTGTACCTTCTTGTGTTGACTTACCATTTTTTGTGAAATCACTTACTCTATTTGTGAAAACTTACGCCTTTTGTGTTGACTTACGCTTTTTGTGAAATCACTTACCCTATTTGTGAAAACTTACGCCTTTTGTGTTGACTTACGCTTTTTGTGAAATCACTTATCCTATTTGTGAAAACTTGTGCTCTTTGTGAAAACTTACGCATTTTGTGTTGACTTACGCTTTTTGCGAAATCACTTACCCTATTTGTGAAAACTTAAGCTCTTTGTGAAAACTTACGCCTTTTGTGTTGACTTACGCTTTTTGTGAAATCACTTGCCCTATTTGTAAAAATTACGCCTTTTGTGTTTATGCTTTTTTGTGTTGACTTATACTTTTTGTGAAATCACTTACCCTATTTGTGAAAACTTACGCTCTTTGTGAAATCACTTACCCTATTTGTGAAAATTTACGCCTTTTGTGTTGACTTACGCTTTTTGTGAAATCAGTTACCCTATTTGTGAAAACTTGTGCCTTTTGTGTTTACGCCTTTTTTGTGTTGACTTACGCTTTTTGTGAAATCACTTACCCTATTTGTGAAAACTTGTGCCTTTTGTGTTTACGCCTTTTTTGTGTTGACTTACGCTTTTTGTGAAATCACTTACCCTATTTTTGAAAACTTTTGTTCTTTGTGAAAACTTACCCTTTTTGTTTTGACTTACACTTTTTGTGAAATTACTGACCCTATTTGTGAAAACTTATGCCTTATGTGTTGACTTGCGCTTTTTATGAAATCACTTACCTTACCTGTGAAAACTTACGCCTTTTGTGTTTATGCTTTTTTGTGTTGACTTACGCTTTTTGTGAAATCATTTACCCTATTTGTGAAAATTTACGCCCTTTGTGTTTATGCCTTTTTGTGTTGACTTACACTTTTTTGTGAAAATCACTTACCCTATTTGTGAATACTTACGCCTTTTGTGTTGTTCCAAATATTTTGTGAAAAGGCTTATACGTTTTTGTGAAAATTTACACATATATAATATAATAAATTATTTTATTAATTTTACCGGTAAGGTGACCTGCTTAGCAAGTCACCAATATATAAGTTTTAACACAAATTTGTATAACTAGTAACACAAACTTGTATAACCAAAAACATAAAAATGTATAAGTACGTTGCATATGGTATACAAGGCATACCTAAGAAAGACCCATTTGGGGTTGGTTTATTCACTAATTGTATATTAGGTTAGTCACTCACCACTTAATCCTAATTAATTATAATTACTACTTAATTCTTCTAATTAATCTCAAATTAAATCTTTAATATAATTATTCCTAGTTTTATTAATTTGAATCAAATTTTTAATTAAACTCCCATAAGTTTCTACATACTAAACTGATTCAATTAAGCTCATCACTTATGGTTTCTTAAATCATCTCAGCTTTCAATTTCTGATTCAAAATAATAACTCTACAAGTAAAATTGAATTTATTAAGTTTTTCTATATTTCATTTAATTGACTTAGATTAGATTAACATACTAATTATCCATTAACGTAATTAATCATTTATTAATCTTAATTAATTATGTATATTTCTCATGTCAATTAATCTAATGAACCTCAATTAAGTCTTGATTTATTCTAATTTCACTTAAATTTAATTAAGCTCCCAAAAGTTTTATACATTAGACCAAACTTATTAAACTTCTCGCTTATGGTTTCTAAATCAGATGATCATTCAATTTTTTATTCAAAACAAATATTTATTAATTTAATTCTATTTATTAACTCATTAATCTTGATTCAGTTTAATTAATCAAATTCAATTTTAAATCTTCATTACCTAACTTGATTAATTTTTCGACGAACATCTAAAATATTCTGAGCATCAAATTAAAGTTTCTAAGATGCCCAAATATTTTAATTTCAAGTTTGAAGTTATCCTCTAGCTCAATTTCATTCATTAAAATTTAGTACAAATCACTATGTTTGGTTTTAGTTTTTTGAGTTATGTTTCAAAAAAGTGATTTGAAAACTATATTTTGAAAATGGATATTTGTTTGGTTTCTAAAAATTTGACTATTGCAAAGAAATTCAAATTTCCCTCCACACATAGAGAGAGAGGGTAGCCTAAATGATGTATTCAACAATAAATTGAAAAAAAAAATTATTGTCACATCAAAAATACTACCATATTTATTTTATGTATATATATATGTACATACTGTATATGTATCAAAAAATAATTTGGTATCTACCCTTTTATGGGTGCATACCCTACCATTAAATTTGTGACTTTATCATAAAATTTCATAATATCAACTACAAAATACGTAATTTAATCACTAATTGGCATAAAAAATTAAGTAACCAACTTACAAACTTTTATAACATCAAATACAAAAGTATTTTTGAATTTTGTTTTGTTTTTAAATTTAAAATCCCTCCACATTGAATATTGTGTCGACGTAAAATTTAAAATTCCGCCACATTGGACTTTCAGTCAACTTGCTGGAACCATT